CAAGGCCTAAGTAACATGGTTCACTTATCTGTAATCATCCGAGAAGTTTCCAAATCCAGTCGGCATTTCAAACAGCTCAGCACATCCATACCAATGATTGCTGCAGACGGTATTCCATCGGCAACAACAAACTCATGGTTAAACTTTTCATTAGCGATATCCAACAGCACAGTAATGGATTCTCAGACAGTGAGGAGCTGGTTGTTAGCGGCAGTCAGGCGGTAGTGGTAAGGTGCCCGAACGCAGTCTGTCAGCTGCTCAACTAAATTGTACCTAAGTAAAGTTTGCACGTACTCGTGTCAATCAAGCCTACCAGTTGGACTTCCCGGACCCGCTCTTCTAAGGTTAATGTTGAAATTCCACCCGATGTACAGACAACAGCGGGTATAATATTGGAAAGTAAACAGTCACGCTGATCTTGAAAAGACTGTAGTGCAACAGAAAACATGCTCTTTCAGTATGTTGCAACATTGGATTTTATGGTTGTTTTAACCTTCGAAACGTCCATTTGTTTTACTGACTGCACGTCCGTTGTCACAAACCGTTTTGGTGAGTTCCTCGCTGCACGTTTCTCACTCTGTCTGATTCGCTTCCTATTCTTGTAGCCTGCACAATACACGTTGGGTTCAGTCTCCTCCGACTTCTATACTGTCGTATTTGACACGTCTTACGTGTCATTGCTTACCGACTAGTATCCCATGTCGCCCAACAATTGGTGACCCCTGTCAGCAACACGCCGCCCGCCATTTTGCATTTTCACTTTGGTGAGCTCGTTCCAGTAATTTTGTGATTCATTACTTGTGATCATATTGTTTTCTAACCTACCACATTCTTTATCTGCATTTTGCAATGGATAATCTAGAGGCTAAGCCGTCTCCATGCGCGGTTAACGCCGTTCAGCCTGCCATGGTCAATTCGGTTGCATTGGCCCCTCCCCGTTTTTGGGAGAATGATCCTTTATTATGGTTTTTGCATTTAGAATCCGTATTTTTTATTCGTAAGATCTCTTCTGATTTCGCAATGTATAACCAGCTAATATCTTGCCTTCCACAGAATATATCCTCTCAGGTGAGAGACATCATACTTTGCCCCCCCCTAGTAATGAAATACGACATGCCTAAACAGGCTATTATTCAGCGAATCACGCCTTCTGACAAGGTCCGTCTGCAGCAGCTATTTAGTGATCTGCAGCTAGGAGGTAGGATGCCATCAGCCTTGTTGCGCGAAATGCAACAGCTCATCGGCACATCCAACATGGACGTAGGGATTCTCCGCGAGCTGTGGATGCAACGCCTTCCTGAAAGCACACAGGCTATTCTTGCAGTAGCAAGTGACTTGCCCATCACAGCAATTGCAGATTGCAGGCGCGACTAGCCCTCCGTCGGCAATAGACGCATTATCATTGCAGATAGCATCGCTACAGCGCCAGATCAAAGAACTCACTTTAAAACGTAAGCACTGCGACCGCTCTGGATCATCGCACCGTCGCACAAAACCTGATACCTCAGGTTACTGCTTTTACCATTCACGTTTCGGTACTAAAGCCCGTAAGTGCGTACAGCCGTGTAGCTACTCCGTTATACATGATCCGCCACGCCGGGCTTTAATGACCGCGAATGTCGGCAAAGATCACAGTCGTCTCATCTACATTAGGGATTATGACTCCGATACCCAGTTCTTAGTTGATACCGGGGCGGAAGTCAGCGTCATTCCCCCTATGTCGGGTGAGCCTACCACTTCTCTGTCGACAAGCCTCAATGCCGCCAATGGCACGCCAATACCCACCTATGATCATCGGTCACTTACCCTGGACCTAAGTCTTCGGCGCACGTTCCGCTGGGTATTCACCGTCGCTGCAGTCCCCTTTGCCACCATCGGCATTGACTTTCTCAGGCATTTCGACCTCTTGGTCGATGCGAAACTCCAGATGATAGTCGACACTGCAACAAAACTCAGCGTACGTGGCAGCACCGCCGATGTAACATCTATATCCCCGGTCTATGCATTTCCCCAGACCTCATTAGCCTACGCTAATCTCCTTTCTCAGTATTCCAAGCTCGTTCAGCCAATGAACGCAGCTTTGCCCGTGGCAGCTCAAGTCACGCACCACATACGGACGAATGGCCCACCTGTGTCATGCCGTCCACGCCGACTATCGCCTGAGAAACTAAAGGTAGCTAGGGCGCAGTTTGAGCACATGCTTGAACTTGGAATAATCCGCCCTTCCGATAGCCTTTGGTCCTCGCCCCTACAGATGGTCCCCAAGAAATCTGGTGACTGGCGTCCTTGCGGTGATTACCGCGCACTCAATCGCCTAACCGTCCCAGATAGGTATCCCATCCCACACATGCAGGACCTTACCGCATGCCTCACAGGCAAGACGATCTTCAGCAAGATCGATCTGGTTCGTGCCTATCACCAGATACCTGTGGAAGACAATGACATTCATAAAACAGCCGTCATTACTCCTTTCGGTTTGTTTGAATTTTTAAGAATGCCATTTGGACTGTGCAACGCCGCACAAACCTTCCAACGCTTCATCCACGATGTTACTCGTGGTCTTGACTTCGCATATTCCTACCTCGATGATATCTTAGTAGCCAGTTCATCGGAACAAGAGCACCTCGAGCATCTTCGGGCTCTCTTCCAGCGCTTGACCCAACACGGTGTCACAGTCAACCCGACTAAGTGCGAACTCGGCAAATCAACGGTAGAATTCCTAGGCCACCTCGTTTCATCGTCTGGTATCGAAGTCCTTCCTGACAAGATCCAGACAACCAAGGACTTCCCAGCTCCGAGTTCCTTCAAGCACCTCCGTCGATTTTGTGGTTTGGTCAACTACTATCGACGCTTCATTCCGCGCTGCGCTCAGCTCATGCAGCCACTGACTGACTTACTCAGAGGAACTGTATGCAAGTTCGCTTTCCCTGACACAGCACAGGCAGCCTTTGCCGAGCTCAAGGATGCTATCTCCAACATAGCTCTCCTCGCTCATTCCGAATCGACTGCACCTCTTTCTATTACGTCTGATGCCTCAGACGTCGAGGTAGGAGCCGTCCTCCAACAACACGTTGGTGGGCAATGGCAACCCCTTGGGTTCTTCTCCAAGCGCCTGCAGCCAGCGGAATCCCGCTGCAGCACGTTTGGCAGGGAACTGCTGGCCATTTACCTAGCAATACGTCACTTCCGGCACGCACTTGAAGGCCGCGCTTTCACGGTCTACACTGACCACAAGCCCCTTATCTTTGCCTTCAACTCTGCTAGCGACAAATACTCACCACGGGAAACAAGACACCTAGACTTTGTCACGCAGTTCACTGCTGATATATGTCATGTCTCAGGTGTCGACAATCCTGTCGCCGACGCTCTCTCACGCGTCAACCTCACTCTCCAGTCTTTGCCTACCGTCGACCTTGCCGCCGTGGCATCGGCTCAGGTTCAAGACGAAGATATACAGCGCACTCTGCAGTCCACTTCGCTGCATGTGCAACCTGTTCCTCTCCAAACCACGGAAGGAACCATCCTCTGTGACACTTCCACAGGTTGTCCTAGACCCCTCGTGCCCGTCTCCTTCAGACGCACAGTCTTTGACGCACTTCACTTACTATCACATCCCGGTATCCGTGCATCTTCGAAACTGGTCACCGAACGTTTCGTTTGGCCACGCGTAAACAAAGATGTTCGTACCTGGGCTCGCGCCTGCCTTCAATGCCAGCGTTCTAAAGTACATCGTCACACCTGCAGTCCTCTTGGTTCATTTCCTGCCCCGGACTCTCGGTTCTCGCATGTACACTTAGACCTGGTAGGTCCATTGCCTCCGTCACGCGGATTTGTATACATTCTTACATGTGTCGACCGCTTCACCAGATGGCCAGAAGCCATTCCGGTAACAGACTGCACAGCTGAGACTGTTATCCGGGCCTTCTTGGATCGATGGGTCTCGCACTACGGATGCCCATCCACCATCACAACCGACCGAGGAACGCCTTTCGAATCTTCACAATTCGATACGTTCTGCAAC